AGGGATTCTTTCACTTCTCTTATAATATCTTTTTTTGTATAAATACCCTCTGGGATTTTGATTTTTCCTCTAGGGGTCGTTTGTCTATGTGGTCTCCTCCTCAGAAGGTTAAAAGGAGGTTCTGAGGTCTGACTGTGCTCTTCGCTCTGGACATGACTCTCCTATTAACATAGCTCAGAATCGTATTTGTTTAAGAATCAATCGCCACATAATGCCAGCTCATATCAAACTGTCCATGAAACCAACCTCGTTAGTCCTTTCCATGATACCAGAAGTTCCATCCTCTACTTACGTGCTTTCTTTTTTTTTCTTTTGGTCTAAGTGCAGAAATTGAGTTTATCTCCATTATATTGCACCTGATTATTTTTATCCTATCTTTCTAGCCTGTCAAAATGCTTCTGAAGTGCTTTTTATCATCCAGCTTATAAACCATCCCTCTCAGCTTTGTGTCATTGGCAAACTTAATAAACATTCTATTTGTGTCTTTACTCAAGGCATGGATAGAAATGTTGGAGAGAAACATAATGTGAAACAGAAGACTCTTTTTCAGGCTTCCAACTGATTCTCTTGAAAGACTATTAAATCTGTCGCTGAAAATCAGATATATAAAACCTATGACATCACTCAGCTAGTGATAAAAAATAGACGTAACTAAGTCTGGTGAAATTTCTACTTTGTGAAGCTTTGTTCATTGCTAGTGATCCTGACTTCCTTCTTGGAGGACTCAGAAACGTGGCAAGCTATTCCCAAATTTTGATGTTGGTCGACAGTTTCATTTCTAGAATATATTTCCTCCATTCCTTTAGAAGTCACACTTGTCCTTCACTAGGTATCCTTTCTTTCACCCTTTTTAAAGCAGTGAATCATCAAAGGGCTCCCTGGGAAGTCGTATTATTTATTTAGATCCATCTCTTTTTCCTTCTTTTATGGGATCAGTTTCTGATTAGGAGCTGACTCAGCTAAGCAACAGCTCAGAGCACGGCTCTCTAGGGGGTGTCAGACTCTCACTGGAGTGCAAGAGACATCCGTTTGAAGTTCAATCTGTCTTTACAGATGAGTATTTACATGGCTGGTGAATGCACATTGGTTGTTTCTCACAGATGCATGTGTCAATTTCAAAGGGAAATTTAAAAATGCTTCTCACCAATCCTGCCCCTACTAAACAATCACGTTTTTTTAAAAGAAACATTGGCTTGAGGAGGTGGCCAGTGATTAACTTCCCCAGGCACCCACATGCCTGTTTTGATTCTTACTCTGACTCCTTTGATTATGTTAACAGAATTCACCTTCAGAGCACCAGATCTCTTCTTGGCGTCTTCATCCTTCTGAATGATGCAGGCGTTATCAGGAGGCAGTGCCTAGCTCTTGGTGTCACACATCTCTTCCAAATGTGACCTCTACCAAGACTAGCTGGGGACTTGAAGCCAGTGGTTCTTGGTTGGTGGTGACTCTGCCCTTGGTGGGGCGGGGACTTGGCTGTCACAGCTTGGGCGTGCTACCTGACTCCAGCTGACAGAGGGCAGGGGTGCTGCTAGACCCCCACAGAGCACAAGTCAGCCCCACCACGAGCACTAGTGTATCTGACCCAAATGGCACTAGTGCTGCTGCTGGGAAACCTGCTTTAAGAAAATAACTAGCTTTTCTGAGCCTGGGTCCCTTTTCCATACAATGAGGGTGACAGTGGTCTGGGTGGTGTCGTGAGGATTACAAGGAGCACTGTGCTAAAACACACGCCATAATGACTGGCACAGGGCCAGCATCAAAAAAAGGTAATTATTTTCTTCATTATTACATGTGTTATGTTGGATACTTCCTTAGATGTTATTAGCTTAATACTAAAAAGGTTTTTATTCCATTTGCTCCACAAAAATTTTTTTTGAGCACTTTTGATACACTAGGCACTGATCTGGTTGCTGCAAATCGATTAGTTAAAAAGGAAAAAAGACAACATTCTCCACCTTCCAGACACTACCAACCTGCAGACAGGCACTGTGTTCTTATTTTGTAACCGATAGAACCCAGGTCTTGGGAGGTTCAAGTAAGTACCCAAGGGTTCAGCACCGATGTGGTGCAGAGCCTGGATGCAATGCCACCAGCCGTTACCGAGTACTTCTGTCTCCCCAGAGGCACAGGCTGAAATCCCAAGCCGCAGTGTGCTGGCTTCAGGAGGTGGAGCCATGATTCGATCATGAGGGTGGCGCCCTCGTGAATGAGATCAGTGTCCCCAGAAGAAGAGCCGGGGAGAGCTTGCTTCTGTCTCCATCACGTGAGGATACGAGAAGATGGCTGTCTACAAACTAGGAAGAGGGCCCTCACCAGACCCCTGGTCTGCTGGTACCCTGATCTGGAACTTCCCAGCCTCCAGAACCATGAGAAATACACATCTGTGCTTAAGCCACCTCCTCTGAGGTGTTTTATGGCCACCTGCATTGACTGAGACACCAGCTCTGCCTGATTCCATAGCCCACAAGCTTTCTGCCCCATTCTTCTCAGATACAAGCTTATAGGAAAGCCAGATGCAGGGAGTGTGAGAATTTCAGATCTCACCTCTGTGCTGGTTTTACAGACTGCAGTGGCATCTTCGTCCATGCCCTCCCACTCTGCAGCATATTTCTGTGATGAGGTGCGTTTTGTTTCTTTTCCCTTTTATTCATTATTAACTCAACACATACTTCTGGAGCACTAGTTCCTTGTTAGGACATAGCGGAGGGTGGAGGCACTGCCTTGGTTGTCAGAGAGCTCCAGGGCCGTTGTGATGGGGGCCAGTCTCTGCTAGAAGTCGTGTGTGAGACCTGCAGCAGCACCTCAACCGGCCCTCCGTGCATGAGGCCACGAGGCCACCTCCACCTCTGGACTGCGGGCTTCCCTACAGGTGTTCATGTTTCTTTACAGGACTCATCACCGCATGCACAGTTAGTTTACATGTGCAGCAAAA